AGGTTCTTCAACTTTTCTTATGTTTGTACTTACTTTGTTTGAAGGCATGGTATACATTAAGAAGTGTCAAATGATCGCCATCAATGTGTGCAAAGCGCATTTTAGCTTCATCAGCAGCCTTTTTAGCTTCATTCGGACGCACGAAACACTGCGGAACTATGAATTGTAACAACAACACAGAAGAAAATGGCATGTTATGGGTTGGCGGCGTTATGGCAATAACACACAACACATCCCACCATTTCAAGTTTAGTTGATTTTTTCAGTTTATTTAGAATTTTTTTTCATATTTTAATTTTTCATATTTCATATTTCATATTGTATAGAAAACAATTGCACTAATTTCTTTTTGGAATGATTTAAATTTTTTATAATAGATGACTACATTCGTAGTCAGTAAATATGTTGCACTTATATGTAGTGTTGAATTGACACCTAAGAGCAGCTAAATAAGGTTTCTGTTTTATGGATTATAATTTTTGTTTTGTTTCAAATACGATTTCGATATGTATTTCAAATACTTATTTATTTTGTTGCAGACAAATCTTAAGATCTAAATAACTTCCAACGCCATTTACTAACAGTACATTTTGTATAAATTTTTTTGAATACGAATAAAATGAGAGATACTTTTTTAATTGATGCACGATTGCCAATTTATAAGAAACATACTATATATAAATGCGTCGGTAGTTTACTAGATACCAAGAATACTTCGTAACTGTTCTACATAGACTGTGAATAAGAATATCACATATAGTCAGTTTGAAATTAAATTAAAGTTAAGCTTCAAGAAAAAAAAATAATTATTTAATTATGTTTTTTTTTAATTCATCGTATGTGAAACATTTTTTAGTGGTAAATGCAAAAGATAAACTAATCAAAGTAATTTATCTTTTGCACTGAAACTGAAAATGTATATATTTGATATGTTTAGTTATTATTATTGAATTTGATTGCTAAATTGAAAGTATATTTAATCTATTGCAAACCAAAACGCAACAAGTTATTGGTTATTCCTATATTAATTTAATTTTGATTAATAATTATATTTTAAATAAAAAACCTATTTTTAATCAAAAACCTTTGTATACTATTTTAAAATCTCAGCATTAAATAATATCAGATATGAAAAACAGCTAGTTATATTTGAAATATAAAAGTTAAGATTAAAAATAGTTGAGAAATTGAAATAAGAGGACAACTTAATAACGTTAACTAATATATCAGTTTGAATGGTATAATATAATGAAAGACTGAAGAATTTTTTATTATAAATACATGTGGAAAGTAATAAATTTAAGAAATTTCTTTCTAAATTTCTTTCTTCGCAAAATCTAAATGTATATTGATATATATGGACTTCCACATAACTTTATACCGATTTGCAAAAAATATTATACCTGAAAACTGTTGCTGGGATTTCATTTTTTTTACAACTAAAAATAGGCTTATCTTTTTGTTGTTTTTCAGAACATAATCATCTCAAAACATTATATTTAAAAATTAAAATGTAATTCTCACCCGACAGCATTGCAGTGATGGATAATATCTCATTTGAACAGTTATGTTGGCAACTAGCAATCAACATTTTAGCTAATTGTGGATCGAGGGGGAATTCTGACATAACTGCACCTAAATCTGTAAGATTGCCATCATCATCGAGAGCAGCCAAATAATTTAATAGTTCTAAAGCACGCATAAGAGTTTCTGGTGCTGGCGGATCCATAAAATCAAAATGTACCAAATCGTCTATACCCAGTTTTTTCAATTGTAAAACAACGGTGCCTAAAGGGGAATACCATATAAATATATCATGAAAAAAATTTATTAGAATTACTTTGGGCATACCTAAGTTCGAACGTAAAATTTCTGGATATGTATTTTCTTGCATCTCATTTTTATACGCTTTTTCAGTATAGAGACGGAAACATTTACCGGGGCGGGTACGTCCAGCACGACCTGCACGCTGTTGTGCGGATGCTTTCGAAATTGGCGAAACAAGCAAACTTTCTACACGTATACGTGGATTGTAAACTTTCTGTTTAGCAAATCCTGGATCAATTACAAATACCACACCATCAATAGTCAATGAAGTTTCCGCAATATTGGTTGATACTACAACTTTCCGACCGATTGCGCCATTAGCGTTGCGTGGCGGTGGTGGCTCGAAAATACGTTGCTGTAAGTTCGGTGGTAAGGTTGAATAAAGTGGAATGCATTTAAGTTCACCAATATCAGAGCCAAGATTATCAGTTTCACGTTTTATTCGTTTACAAGCTTCTTCAATTTCTTCCTGACCAGTGAGGAACATGAGTACATCACCTTTTATTCAAATAAAATCTTTTTAGAAATACATATATTTATTTATGTAATATTCAAACATACCTTCAACATCTTCACACATGTGTATTTGTATAACCGTACGAATCGCTGCTTCCAAATAATCTCTTTCAGGCTCTGGAGTATAGAATATTTCTACTGGATGCGTACGACCAGGTACATTCATTAGTGGTGCATTATCAAAATATTGTTGAAATTTGCCTGCATCCAAGGTAGCAGACATCACTACCAATTTCAAGTCATTGCGTTGGCGTATAACTTCTTTTAAAACACCCATAAGTATATCTGTGGCTAGTGTACGTTCATGCGCCTCATCAAGCAATATAACTTGATACTGTTCAAGCATAGGATCAGACATAGCTTCACGTAGCAACATACCATCTGTCATGTATTTCAGCACAGTTTTTGCAGAGGAACAGTCCTCAAAACGTATAGAATAGCCAACTTCTTCACCTAGATTTACGTCCATTTCTTCTGAAACACGTTGTGCTACAGACATAGCAGCTACACGACGTGGTTGTGTGCAAGAAACACCCTTTTTACCCTTCGAAAATGCATATTCAACACACCATTGCGGTATTTGTGTGGTTTTGCCAGACCCAGTCTCACCTACGAGCACAATGCACTGATGCTCATTTAGCAGACGCATGAAATCTGATTGATATTCGAACACTGGCAAAGTTATGCGTTTTTTATGTAATTGAAAATATTTCGCCGAATAAGGCTTCATACTGTATGGATTCATTGTGCTCGGTTGTCTGCTACTGGCCAAAGCGCCACTTCCAACTGAAACTGTGGCAGTTGACGTGGATGCTAACTCGTTCCTAAATAAATTAAACAATTAGTTATGGTAAATTAAATACATTTTAACATTGATTGTCCCGTAAAAATATTCTTACAGCTAAAAAAATGTGCTTTATACCCAGAGACTTACTTCTTTTTTTTAGCTAATGAATCGCCAACATCAATTCGTCTTTTAGACATTTTATATGAAATCAAATATTTAAACAATTTCTTATGTACGCAAAATTAATTAAATAATTTATGAAATATTTGCCAAAAACGCAGCTTTTTCCTCACCATACGCCGTCGCACGCGTTTGTTCTTTCATTAACTACACAGAGTTGTATCATTAATGACTTAATATTTAAATTAGGCAAACCATCCATACAATATGAATGAAAACATTAAAATCCTACAGAATGACAATTTATAAATAATTACTATGCATTTCATTAAGAACATATAATTTTTGTTTTATTGAATAAAGTTTAATAATTTTTATCATTATCAACTTTGCAATCAACTCATTTTTGCAGTTGACAAAACTTTCATCACTTTTATTCCTTAATAATACATCATAAAAATAAATTAAATATATAATTGGTACATTAAGTCATTTGTACACATTTTATATATCAATTACGTATTTAATTAATAAAAACACAAATTTTATTATATACTTACTAAGTCAGTGCCTTTGTTTACAGCTCAGTTGTTGTTCATTTATATTTTATATATAAAACATATGGCACATATTTCAAATTTGGTAAATTCATTTGTGGTAAATTTATTTCTAAGATGATTAAATGAGCTGATTTGTTGATATTGAGCTTATTTATATAAAAGCAGTTTGTATAGAGTCATTAGCGGCTATAATGAGCAAATTCGCCTAAATGAGAGAGTGCGAATGTGCTATTAAATTGTAAATATGCGTCACAGAAATAAAGCGTTTTAGTTATGATTATTAAAAACTCTCATTCATATACAAATAGTATTTTTATATAATCTAAAAACTATACATTCATGTCTAATTGGTTGATGTGCAGTCTTAATTAGTTTGAATATAGTATATATCGGTTTGTATTCAATATGAATTTTATACGTAAATGCAAATTAAAATTTTTTAGGTATTAATATAAACTTTTTTAAATCAAATTTTCGTTGGACATGTTAACAACAATGACAATAGTTGGTTAACAAAGCTTTTATTTTCAAAGTAAGTGAACCAGTTAAGATGCGATCTGGCTTATGTACATATATAATGCTTAGGAAAATATACAAAAACCATTCAATGATGAAAATGTATGTGTTGTAAGTGTATTTAATGTAAAATTAATGAATTATATATCAATTAAAAATTGATAAGTTGATAAAATAATAATAATCGAAATTGAAATCGAACTTGGAATTATATATCAAATATTAAGTTGATAATAATAATCGAAATTGAAATCGAATTTTTTAACTTTTTTGCATAAACAATATTCGAAACAAATACATTAAAAAGTAGTTAATATTGAATTATTTATTATGACGCTTACAAATTAACAATTGTGTTACATTAACACATTGAATCTATCATAAATCTACTTAAATCAAATAGTTTAGAATAACATAAAAGCACAGTTATAACAGATTCGTTGTTATAAGTATATATATTTTTATATATATATGGTATCTAAATTCAAAACATCAATATGGCCACTTTACTTATTTCATATTTCTGCAATATTACTAAATTAAATATATTTTACATATTACACAACTATTCTTAATTAAAAACAGGTGTTAAAAAATAATTTCGAGATGTGTATGCTACTTAGCTATCATATGTATTCCAGTTCAATACGCACTACTTATTGAATGAGCTGTCAATCATGTTTGTGCGGTTGGCAACTCTAAAAAACTACTTTATTCGAATTGTTTAGTTTTTCGCCCACGCAATACTGTTTACTTTACCAACAACAACTAAAGCATATTTATAGAAAAATTGTCGTCCATGTTTTTGTAAGAAAATTATTTGCAAAAATGCGAATAAATAAAGAAGATGGTAGTGTTATAATAAACTCGAGTTTAATCACTAGCCTTTAAAATAAGTGTTGTTTACTCAATAAGAAAATGGAAATTCCAATACAAGTTGCAGTGCGCATTTTTCCCAGTCCGAATGCCAATGCATGTACAACGTCTGCGGTTAAAAACGATCCAAATGGCAATGTAAGTGCATCTCCTTGTGAAGATGAACAACGAAAATTTGCTGAAAATGCTGAAGGCACGGGATGTTGTGTGCAAACAATACCAGTCACTGCGGCGGTTCAAGGGTTTATGTCTACCGATGTACAAAATAATGTGGACAATGGAATAGCAGGGGGTTTAGTGCAAGTGGGGTCTCAAAGTTACACCATTACACATGCATTACCAGCAGATTGCACACAAAACCAAGTATACCATCAAACAGTATTTCCACTTATAAGCTTGTTCATGGAAGGTTTTGATGCGTCTGTTGTAACGTATGGTCAGCAAGGGACCGGTAAAACGTACACACTTTATGGACCTGGATTTGATTGTGTTTACGGAGAGTCCGATCAAGGAGTTGTGCAGCGTTGTGTACGTGAAATATATGCACTTATGGCTAACCATCCAGAGCGTACATATGCAGTAAATATTGGATGGGTAGAAATATGTGGTGAAGTCATACGTGACTTACTTGGTGTGGGCAACGTTCATTGTGCAAACTTGACTGATGTGTTTCAATGGTTGCAAATGGGCATGAATAATAAAGTGAACAATGGTCAAGAAACCAATAATTTTACACAAATACTAACACATACGCTGTTTACCTTTACTTTGGAACAGCAGTGGGTAACAAAGGAAGGTCTAATACAGCATCGCTTATCAACAGCCAGTTTTTCTGATTTATGTGCAACAAGACGCTTATTTATGCTGAGCTCACTTGATCAACCGCCTAGTCTACCAAATGATTTGGGTTTGCAAGCATTAGAACATGTTGTGAATACGCTCACTGATCCGGCGTTACTATATAGTGCAAATGGGAATATTCCCTACAATCAGACAACACTTACAACATTACTTAAAGATTCATTTGGGGGACGTGCGCAGACTTTAGTCATTTTATGTGTTTCACCATATGACCGTGATATGAGCGAGACTATATGTAATTTGAAGTTCGCTTTAAAAGTACAGTGTGTACGCAACTACGTTATAATGAATAGATTCTCAGATGACAATACACCTATATCGCCAGAGGTTGTTCCAGAGATGCCAAATGTGACTGGTATGGGTGGCTTGCCATCAATAGTCGATAATTTTGGTTTACAGTTTGCAGCTAGTCAATGGTTTAAATTAGTTTCTAACGCTGAGGGGCTGTTTGCGAAGTATGTTCAAGTGTACACCATTTACAATTTTATATAAAATAATTATTATATATTTAGATTGATCTCTTCGAATAACATATCGGATTTGGATAAGGAACAAATAGAGGAGTGGCTTTTTCTTAAACAAGAGTGTGAAGAATGCTTAAGTTCTAGTGAAGCTATCCTAGCAAGATCACAAAAACACCTTGGGCCTATACAAGAAGCCGAAGAGCCCGAGGAAACAGTTAGTGAGCCTGAAACCACATGTCAACAAAACTCTGATAATGACTCCGATTCAGAATCTCAACGTCCTGATTTGGACGAAAAGTTGCAATCTTTGATGAAAGATTTTAGTTTAAAAACGGATAGTTTAGTGAAGGAAAAATACAATGATTTTATTGAAAAACAGCCGAATGCTGTAATGAATAGTTTAGATAACATTCGAGACAGAGATAGAAGAGAAGATATAACAGAAAATCAAGTGGTAGAAAAACTAGATGAACGTAAAGGATCCATAGGTGGTATGAAAAATAAATGTATTTCGTAGTATTAGCATGATTTAAAAAATATATTTATAGGGCGTCGCCGGTCTTTACAACCCGGAGCAAGCCTTTCGAGTGCTGAAATTGCTATGCTTAATCGGGTAGCTTCGAGGGAACAAACTACAGCGTCTGACGATTTCTTTAATAGTTGTGATGATTTGAAACATGCTAAGCAAATACGTGCAGCAATAAATTCTCCAATTGAAAATATACAGCGTAAGATACGTAAATTAGATACTGACATTGAAGCAAGACAACGTCAAATTAAGGAAATTGAAAAAACAATGCAAATAAAGCAAAACATAATCACAGAATTAGTAAAAAACAGTGAAACACGTACAAAAGCCAAGCAACGCGTGAATAAAAAGAAATCAAAACTCGAAGCTGATTACGAAAAGAGCAAAAAACAATTGACAAAAGCTATAGCTCAGGGTAAAGATGAGAACGAAATAGCTCGTTTGACAGCTTCCATTCAACATATTCAACAACGTCTGCAGGATCTCAGCTCTATGAAGCATATAGCAGGTGAATGTGGACAGAAAGTAAAACGACTTCACCAGTCATTGCAAGAGTACAAAAAACTGATCGATGATTTACAAAAACAAATTAAAAAAGAAAAAAAAGCGAGAGATCTGCTCGATATAGAGTTGCGTACTCTAAAAGAAAAAGAAAGCAGCAAAGCCGTTGTTAAAGTCGATGTTGGTGGTTTAGAAGAGCGTGGTAGGAATCTAAAAGAAGTTCAAGCACGCATATCGCATTTGGACCATGTACTGCGAGAGAAGTCTGAAAATCTCGAACAATATGATGAAACAGAAATTGAACAAAAAGAAGGTTTGCGTCACGAAATTCGAAATCTACGACATACACGCGATCATCTGCTCGATCAGCGTTGCACACTCGATCGCAAACTGAAACGTGATAAAATTTTATCACATCGTGAAGAACGTAAGCTATTGGAATGTGATGAGGCAATTGAAGCTATCGATGCTGCAATCGAATTCAAAAATGAACTTATTTGTGGTCATAAATCCATCGACACAAGTGAACGCATACAACGCGAGAAGGGTGAACAAATGTTAATGGCACGTTTAAATAAGCTTTCAACAGAAGAAATGCGTACGTTGTTGTATAAATACTTTACAAAGGTAATCGATTTACGCGATTCTTCACGTAAATTGGAAGTGCAACTAATACAGTTGGAACGCGAACGAGATGCTTGGGAATGGAAGGAACGTGTGCTTTCAAATGCAGTACGACAGGCACGTTTAGAGGGTGAACGTAACGCAGTTCTGTTGCAACGTCAGCATGAAATGAAGTTAACACTTATGTTGCGACATTTAGCTGAGGAAACAACAAGTGCCAGTTCAGCTAGTTATGGTGAACCACCACATTATATACGACCCAATAATTTAGCTTTACCTACACATGCAACAAATTCGACAAATTCATCCCAATATACCGACTGTGACTTCGAAATGGATTTCTATAAGAATACAGCAACTGCAACAGCACAGACAAACAAAATGATAAAGGCACACAAGCATGGAGACTTGGAAATATGTCCTTTGCCGGATGCTTTGACTAAATATAAACCATTAGATAAATTAAAGGAGAAAGAGCGTGAATCGAAAAATAAATTGTTTCCCAAATTTCAGGTACTTATGCGTTATGCCGGACAATCAGTTTCAGTGGCGCAAAACAATAATGACACACATCAATATCAGCAACAGCAGCCGCATGGTGCAGCCAGCGGGCATGGCAGCAATAGAAAGAAAGAAAAAGAAGCTATTGCTGCTATACCACAAGAGAATCTTAAACGTTTAATATCTGCCCCATCAGCAACCAAAGTAACAAGACAAAAGAATAAAATCATTATACAGGATGCGACACGCAAAAATTAGACACTTCCTACAATTCGCAAGTACTGAGTATGTATGAAACTAGTAAGTTACTACAAAATAAATTTTAGAATTTAGGATAAAGTTTATTAATAATTAAGTGAAAAATGAGCAATTTGATATTTATTTACTTATAAACTTATAAACAACAGGTGTCATAAAAGAATCTTAATACTCACTAGATTTCCTATCGAAAAATTAAGAAGAGCTAAATCATAATTTAGATATGCACATTTGATAGAAGGCAAATTAATTTGGAAAATTAAAATATAATTAATCAATTAATCAAACGTAATGGCAGGTGAATTAAAAAATAAGTTATTGTCTTTACAAATATTCGGTAATTTGTAGAACTTTCAATTCGCCTTTTATGTTAATTAATCAAATCAAATTAATCAATGAAGGCTCAAAATAGGTAAAGTAGAGAAAAAATTAATTCAAGAATTTAATATTAACTGAATAAAAATTTATTAAACAGCTTTGGTTTAGTATAAAAGCGTATCTAAATACCGCATAAGCAGATACAATTTATTGCAAATGCCATAAATTAAAAAAAAATAGTTAGTGTATTTTTATTTTTTTATTATTTGTTTTTTTTGTACATTTAATAATGTATTTTCAGTTTTCTTGACAAGTATTTTTATTATTTAATACTCGCATTTGCCAAATTAAGTATTTATTTTATTCAAACTACTACGTAATTTAGGTGTTGGTTTACTTAGTATTAGTACTAAAGCATTTATAAATTACTAATTGTCAATAATACTCAGTGTTTAAGTTAATGCCACCTTAAATGGAGGCAACCGAGTTATTTTTAACTAAAAAAATGAATTTTTAGTTATAGAAGCATATTTCAGAAATAGTAACGTAGCCAGGAAAAATTTTCAAAATTCTTTAAATTCCAAAAATTTCATTCTTTAAATGTGGAAGTATATCTTTCCCTTGGGAGAATATATTTATCATTACTATTTTCAACTAGTTAGTTATATTATGCATCAGCGCTGCTAGTCCTAGGGCATGAATAGAATCTCTGTACAATGTCAGTTATTTCCGTCAATATTACAGTCAATATGATGTGATGCCTTGGTGAATTGTACAATATTTGTCTGAGCCCATTCAATCGTCGTCAAGCTAGTGGATTCCATAGTAGAGTCTATTTTGCGATGCTTCTGCCCTCTTTTCATTAGATATTTTTATAACTAATTTCATTAACTCCCTTTCCGAAACACTGACTATGCCACTGGTCAAGCTGTTTGAAAGATGATTGAAAATTTCTAAATAAGTCTTGTTTCGCTTGAAATGGCCTGTTACTGATGTATGTTGTAACATATAATAAAATAGTTACCACTGCAAGGTTTCCAATTAAAAAACCAGAAATCATTTAATATAAACATTTAATAGTTTTATAGAACCAACTGATTAATTATTAAGTAAAAAACTATGTGTAATATATTTCTTAAATGAAATTTGAAAATTGTCTCATTGTCAATTATTGGTTGTGTTGTTTCAAAAATCACCTTTTTAAAAATTTTATTATTTTATTAATTTAAAATTCTCTTTATAAAATTTCCGACAAAAGTTCTGACCATTTTACAGTTTTATTTTATATTTAATTCATAAGTTCCATTTTCTTTCAATTCCTACTATCGCATTCTATGTATATATATATCTACATTTAATTCTTAGTTTTGTTAAATATATCTACATATATCTTTACCATGATTTGATTACATATTTTTTATTTTTCTGCTATATATTTTATTATGATTCGTTTTAAAATGAACGTGTCCGTGTAATTTATTGGTTTGGGCAAAAAGTATTTTTGTGTTTTTCTACTCGCCTTTAATAGTACTTTATCACAATCAAAAATCAAGTACCAAGAAATATTGCTCATTCTTGTTCTGAAGATCTGAAATTATGTTCATCGCTCTTTTCGGATCTCTCCATCGAAAAAGTCAATGAAATTTGGAACAAGTTTCAAAAAAAATTAGCACGTGAGCATTCGCAACTTCGTTAAGGAATTAAAGGTTGACCATAAAACAAGGCTCTGAATCATTTGGAAAAATTTGATTACCAAAAAGAAGTTCGATATTTGGATGCCTCATAAACTAAGGCGTTCAATTCCCTTCGAATTGGTCGAATTTTTTATTTTAACTTAAAACATGCTAAATACTATTTGCCCAACTTATATTATTTTAATTTTATTTTTGTATATTCATTATTTCTTTTTATTAACATATCTTTTTATATATTGAAAGTTTTATTTAGTTTTTATATATTGTTAAGATTTGTATCCGCAGTATATTTATATTTTCTAAAATCAAAAATATTAATATTTATAGAAGAATCTCTGAGGGGGTTTTTAAATAAGCACTAAATTCGAGAATGGATATGATATTTATTAAATATAAAATAAATTATAATTTAAAAATGCTTTTTTATATTATAAATTTTTTGGGGTTTATATTCACTTATGTATATTTCATTTTATGAAAACCCTTTTCCTAATTAATAATAATTAATATATATAATTATTTTTTTTATTTTAAAGTATGTTATGTAGCTTTGCTTTTCACTCAAGAGAATAAATAAAAATTTATTTTAGATTGTATTTTATATATTTAAATTATTATTAATATATTTAAATGTCTTATTTTATTAATTGAAATTATTATTAATAATTGTCCATTTAGAAGTCTTAAAAATAATATAGTTATCGCTCTTTGGGTACTTGACCAATAAGCTTTTGAATACTCTTCATTTAATATTTAATTTTTCCAAATTTTTTTAGTATTACTAACAGCCCACAAAGACAATTTGCATTTAATGAAAAAAAGATTGATAACATATAAAACTTTCATAATATTTTATTATAACATAATAAGTAAATACTATATATTCAAAAAATTTACAAAAATTTCTAATAAGAACCAAAAGACAAAAAATTAGTTCTAAGCAAATACCACAAAATACTCATTGAATAAAGAAAAAGCACGGAATGTAAAAGAAATAATATGATAATTAAAATAGTTTAATTAATAAATTATTTAAAACAAAAATTATTTGACATAATTTCGTTAAAGTGATATTTTGTTGTTATTTTATATATTTAATTTATAAAGTTTATATAAAAGTTTTCCATTTGTATGCACTATTTTACATATGCACATAAATAAAATTTTTAATATAATATTTAAAATGTTTCATAAATTTTGTAAACCTAAATTGTATATTTTTTTTAAAAGGTTATTTAATATTTTTTATATTAAAAAAGAAAATAACAAGAATATGTAGCTCTCAAAGCAGTCCATAAACCTATGTTACCAATAATAGATATTCATAATTATTTTTTATAATTTAATGCCATATTTCATATATAAAATAACTAATTGTAAACAATCAATACATAAATATTTTACAGATCTAATAAATATACTCAAGATAAATGATATGAATAAATGATATCAGTACTAAAGTTTTTTTTTTATAAATTTCTATATCTGTGGAAGTATATCTTTCACAACAATCCTTATGGTAAGATTTGACTCAGTTAAGTGGTTTGAGAAAATATTTAGTTAAATAGTGAAAACTGTCAGGTCCACGTTCCAGAGCCACACGTTTGTAATGACGACTTTCTTCGTATGGATGGTGGAACGACGTAGGTTACAGCCACAGCCACAGTTTCAACTGTATTACAGTTGAACACAACTGTTTCGTTCAGATTCAAAAGTAAAAATATTTTTTGTTAAATAACTTA